ATAACAAAATATCTAGTACACTGTGATAAAATATTTAATTGCTTTTTAAGAATTCAAAATTATTCAAAAAAAATCCTGTTTAACTCTCCGACCATCAATAAAGGGATTTATATATATCAAGTAATCTGGGTTTCCTATAATTAAGTTATAATTTGAAAAAATAATATTTATAAGAGTATGTATATTTCTTTATTATAAAGAGGACTTTAAGATAAAGCTTTATATTAGATAATAAGGGAATCTACGAATACAACTTTGAAAAACTTAGATATATGTACATGCAACTGGCAATTAGCTTTTTTTAATTTCAAAATATGGGTCGTTTCTTATTTTCAGGAAATTTTGAAAAGATATATTGATTTTAGGCTTTTTTCCCAAAACGGTATATTTTTCAAGATTTTTGGTAGTGTACCAAATCGAAAGGGGAGGCGTGGAGCAAAGTCTATGCCTGAGTAATGTCACATGTGAAATGAGTTGAGAGAATATTCCGTACGACAGCCATTTATGAAAATTGCATCGAGGAGAATAAAGATAAATAAATAAATGTCTTGACGACGCATGTACTTTGAGTAATCGATAAGCAATCAAACGATCGCCATGCGATAACAACGCCGCCGTAATTAAATAGAAACACGCAAGGGAAAATGGGGGAATATGCAAAAGGGGTTTTCCAACGATTTTGATTGGTGCTCATTTGGGGGCCTGACTATATAATGGCCTATACTATAAGTCTATATAATCCGTATGTGCGCCGCTGAGCAAATACGCACGAGTTAAGAGCAAACAACGAACAAGGCAAGGTCACTATCGCCCACACTCCCCTCGGCAAAGTTTTCCCTTTTTCCTGCCGTCAATCAGACACTCATTCAAATTTTCTGTGCGACTGCAGCACCTGCCAGAAAGTGGCAGCAAATGCAACAAGCAATTAGCCATGAATTCATCAAAACGAGTAGGGGAAAATTAAACCTCTCAGGGGGTCAAGTGAATTTTAAATCGGTAGGAAAGCGGAAAATCAGAAGGCAGGCACCTGACAGTTTTTGTGTGCTAGGAAAATCAGAATCAGGTGAATGAGCGCACCAGGTGGAAGTTCAAAATAAAAAGAAAAACTTTGTATGGGTAAGAACGGAAAAAACAGTTGGCCAAGGCATAAAGTCGTAAATAAAAGAACATCTTACAACTTAGAAAAATCAGAGGAAGGAAATACAATTTTTATAGTTGTATAATATCTATATAGTTTTCCAATTAAAACTTAAGTAAGATGTTATAAGTTGGCAAAAAATTGTTTTTAAAATTATATCCAGCCATACCTTATATTGATTTGTAGTAAAAAATATTAGAATTTCTATTTCCATCCTAGTAAACAAAAACAAAAACAAACAACTAAAACAACGTGAGGGACTTTACCCTATTAACAGTGTAACACGGATGAAATACTTTCCTTTCACAGGAGAATCTAAGCCAGAATTTGACGAACTTGATTTTTCTGTTTAAAGCGCAGCAAGTCAAAAACTTCGGTTAATCAAACAAATTCTTTAAACTTCATTATGGAATGAATAATATTTAATTAATCATTGCAAGGTAGTAGCAAGTTTTCGGAGCTTTAAACTATCATTAATCAGTTTCTAAAGATGCCAAACAACAAACAGCGATCTCTTTGATTCTGGAGTTGGATCATAATATTAACGTTTTTATAGGATTAAGAACAAGCAAATCTGGTATTAAGCTGGGGTTAATGCTCAGCAGACTTTTGCAGGAACCCCTTAATTTCTTAGCAAACGGTACCAGAGAAAGAGAGAGCAAGCTCAGCTAGGCGATAGATTGGACCAATAGATAGGTCAAAGGACGCAGGACGCGGCAGAAAGAGGAGCGAGGAGGAAACCTGCGAACTCACCGTCATGTTGTGCTCGACCAGCTTCTCGCTAGAACAGATCATGTAGACTAGATAGGCCCGCATCAGTTCGCCGGTGGTCTTGCTTTTGAAGGCGGCAATCGGATCATTGAAGGTCACGTCCAGGGGATCCCTCTGCGGCGAGCCAGCGGGCGAGGGATTCTTCTCCTGGGACGACTTCTGCTTTATCGATCGCTTCACAGCCTCGCCGGACACCAGATCCGGTTGAACCAGTGTGGAGGCCTGCAACGGCCGATCGCCAGTGTGCATGTAGCGGGCCCCATTGACTCCATTTGTGGCCTCCGGTGCTGCTCCTTCTGCGGTGCTGGTGGTGCTTCTCCTGTCTCGCTGGTGGAAGCTCCGGCAGGCGGCGACAGCCACGGAACTGCTCGACTTACTGTTATTACGGCCGTAGACCAAACTGATGGCTGTTCGTTGGGCGCTCAGTGAACGGAGTAGAGCCATTACAAGGAATTCTGCGGTTTATTTGGGTTATCTGCTCTCCGGATTTTAAGAACGATATTAATACGGACTCCGATTTAGACTGTGGCTGCAAAAAAAACAAAGAAAATCAGAGGTGATTTAACTAAAATCTTAACAAATCGCTACGAATCTGAGGCATTACAGTGGCGTTTGTGAGATTATATTAAAGGGTGTAGGTTCCAATCTCGCTTTAAAAATGTTTATTTCGAATTTCGAACATTCACAGTAAAATAATTAATTAAATAATTTTTAATTTAGTTTATTTAAGGTTTTTATTTACAATACTTGTTTATTACAACACGTATAATTGGGATTTTTAGCAACAAAAATCAACGAATTCACCAAAGGGTTCTTTAACACATAATCCCCCTGCAAGCGCCACTGATCACAGCTGATTTCGCTTGATTTACGGAGAGCTTTTCGTTCTGGGTCGCTCTCGTTTTCTCTCGCTTGCTCCAAATGTTATACAACAACTGCGAAAAACGTGAGGCGGAGAGGAAGAGACTGAGAGGACGGAAGATAGGGAGAAGCCGAAAAACAGCACAACAACAAAAAACACACGTACGCGAGTACACCTCCAAAATGTTCAATTAAAAAATTCCAGTTTCTGGCCTGAGATCTATCTTTCGCTTTTATTTGCCTCTTTGATTTCTTTTTTATTATTTATTCTATTACGCTTTGAGCGTTGTATACGCCGCAAAAGCACGAAACCAAATGCGAGGAAGACGCCAGAAAAAGAGGCGAATTGAGTTCGGCGAGTTCCACGAAGCGAAACGAAGCAGGACACGAAGGCGAGAAAGTCCTGTTCGCCACAGCACTCGTGTTTATGTAACTGTAGCTGTAATTGTAATTGTAACTGGAACTGTGACTGTGTGACGTCACAGCCATGCGAGCCCCTTTGATTTTGATTAAGCATTTGTTTTGATTTAATTGAAATGCGCCGCAAACACAGACTAATTGGTGTTAATTGCGGGCCACCCTTGATTCCCCCAATTTTCCCTCTCTATTTTCCTCTTATTTCCCTCCTATTCTCGTTTTTTTTTGTTGTATTAATTAGCAGCCTGCTAAATAATTGCCAGACGAGAAGCTGCAATCAAATCGAAAAAAAACTTGGCGGGTTTCATTGCACAGATTTTATTACACTTCATTTTGGTAAATCTCAATCCCTGTCTCGCTTTGGCTGCCTTGGTTAGAGGGCGGAGAAGAGCTAGCAAACTTAAATTGCGAATTCATCAAATTGTTTTTTACTTTTCATTTTTTTTGTTGCCATGCGGCGAATATACCTATTATATAACACTGCCTGCTTTTCTCTCTCTCTCTCTGCACAGATCCTTTTATGACATGACACAACGCACATACACGTACACTGCAAAATTTCTCCTCGCTTTTCCTACCTTATTTTCCGCTGCTTGCGGTTTTCCTTCTCTTTTTTCTTGTTTAAATTTGCTTTTTCCCGCTGCCACTTCGAATCAAGCTATGGAGACTAGAAACAAACCATACAACAAAAACAGGGTAAACAAATAAATTAGTTAAGCCGATTTTGTTCGTTGAAAATTTTGTACAATCGCCAAAGAATTTTCCGGGATAAATTCGTGTATGCTTGACAAGCAATTCACAGCAGCCTGGAGCCTTTTCTTTTAATGCATTTTCTCACCTCACAAATGTCACAAGAACAAATTTAATAACTTTTTGGTTTTTTTGTTATTCTCTGTTCGAGGGTTTTTGTTGCTGCTGCGCGGGAGAGACGTGAGCACGCGCGACAGGGAGAGAACGACTGCAAGGGTCTGAATTCGCGAACAAACTGAAACAAATGAAGCGAAATTAAGGCCAACACGGCGAAAGCTCGTCAAAAAAAGCTTGCGAGAAATGGTCAAAACCATTCGGCTGTATGAAGAAACGGGGAGGGGGAGAAATGCTAGAGGAGAGAACGGAAAATAGAGAGGGGGCGTGGCGCACCACCCTTAGCAGCTGTTTGGCTGCACGTGAGCGGAAAAAGCATTCGAATCTAAAATGAATCGCCATCTTGTCCTTATATCGCCCAATTAAAAGCGATCCACTTATCTACGCCCCTGGCGGTTGGCCACGGAATCTTTCTTATCTTATCAGCGGACCCTTATGCTCTGCCCCTCTCTCACCCACTCTTTCTCTCTTGCCGCCGCCCGCCTACTGGCTTTTTTCAGCCGGCTAAAAGACAAGTTTTACGGACATCTGGCAGCACTGGCAAGGCAAACAGGGTTGCTTTTGGTGCAAAGCTGATAAGAAACTTGTCGATAACATTTGAACCGCTCGAAAATTTAAATTTATGGCCAGATTCCTAATATAAAGCACATCGATTGTTATAAATTAAATTTAAAAACTTTTGTTTTCTTTAAGTGGAAATATCTATTTGAAATAGTTGTATTTACTTTGAAGTCTTTAAATTAAATTTTTAGCAAGACATTATGACACAATTACAGCAACTGCGATTTATATAATTTGCAAAAAATATTTTGCATGTTTTAAGTTTTAGGTTTTTGCGAAATTTTAAAATTGAATTAAATTGTCCTTGCTATTTAGTGCCTTCTCATCTTTATATTAAATCCAATATTGACGATTCAACATTGAGCCACGTATTGAAAAGAAAACCATGTTTCCACTTTAAAATGAATATATTTTTGTTTGCAAATTGTTTGCGTTTTGACAAATATAGCAATAAATTACGACTACATATTAGAAATAATAATAATTAACATTTAATGAGCGTTCGGCTGTTGTTTTTGCTGCTTTTCTACTCTTGCTGCTTAAGCGAACGCGGCCCGATAAAAGGAGAAACTTAACAAGAAAAAAACAGAACAAGTTATCTAAATACAAAATATATAGATATATATGCGTGTGAAACTGACGCGGAATTTCTCCTGCCGCCATCATAACAAAAAATACATAATTCGCTACCGTCGCGACTCTCTTCTCATATTCCTTTCTGCTGGCTCGCTTTTTTGTTTTTTACATAATATTATTGACTAAATTGTAGATCAACGAATGTCTGTTTCTCCATCTCCATGTGGCACCACCAGCAAATAGCTTAAAGCATTGTAAGTATCGAAGAAGGGAGCTTAACTGAACTGCAAGACTGTCATAAAGTTTAAAAATTGATTTTCAATTTTCAATTACATTTTCAAGTTAATATTCATTTTTCATGATTCTTTAAAAAAATGCTTCTTTAAAAAAATGATATAATACAATTTAAAGAGGTTAAGAAACGAAATATTTCAAATATTTCTGAGACATTAACCCGAAAAAACATGTTAAAACTTATATAATACATAGTTTACAGTTTTCGAATGACTTCTTCCATGCTGTAAAAGTTGATATGATTAACTTTTGGGGCATGAATTTTCCATTATCAATTATGCCATTTTTTTGGTTGAAAAAGTAGAATATTTTTGCATATTTCTACAGAAATAGAAGAAGATATGGTTAATATATCCTTATCACGTTACGAAAATCTTGCAGTTTACGGTTTAAATTTGGGCTAACTATTTGGTGGTTATGCTGGACAGCCAGTGGTCATGGTAGTGGTGCTGCTGGCGCTAGTTGGACTTGCTCAGCTCAGTGCGGTTGGCGGCCACTTCGGCCAGAATGAGTAGATCTGAGGTAGAGGAGGTCACGTCGAAGGCCGCCTGTGAGGAGAGCGACGAGGACGACGACGAGGAGTTCGAAGATAGCGGCGGCGAGGCCGACGATGAGGTGGGAGCTGCATTCATCGCCTTGGGTGCACCACTCTGATTGAAGTAATAGCTGCCGTTGATGGTCAGCGGCAGAATGGAGGCCACCTCCTGCTCGATTGCGCTGACATCGCGTCGCGTGATGCTCTCCTTGCGCGCCTTGCGTCGCTGGCTGCCTACGGCCTGTAGTTGCTGCTGCTGCTGCTTGATCCTTACCAAGTGCTCGCTGGCTGCAGTTGCTGATCCTTTGTCCGTAGCAGCTACTGCTCCTGCATTTGGTGCCATTGATCCGCTACTGGTGCTGTTCGAATTCCTCTGTTTCTTGCTGCCGCTAAACTTCTTCTTCTTTTTGGTGCTGCGCTTGCGCTGCAGGTAAGCATCCAAACTGAGGGCCGGCAGCTCCTTGATCTTCTCCTCAAGATCAAAAAAACCACTGCTGCTGGACTCGGAAACGGTCCTCAGATGCTTTTGCATGGAATCGGGACTGCTGTCGTGGCGTTCTGGTGGGGACACGGGCGGCGTATTGGGTCCCGCATCCAAGGGGATGTCCACAAAGTTTCCACCCATATTTCCCGACGGGGGAGACCGAGCCTTGCTCTTTTTAGCTATAGCCGCCAGTTGGCCGGAGTTGACCAGCTCCTGGTAGATCTTGCCCTTGCAGGAGCGCGATGATTTCGCCTTCTTGCTGGGTGAGCCACCGTTGGCCGCCTCCTCCTCGCTGGAGTTGCTAGAGTTGCTGTCCGCCAGGGAGCGCTTACTGCCATTACCATTCGGATTGCCTCCTGGCATGTGGGCGGATAGAAACTGGCTGGTCTCGCTGAGCGCCTGCTGCAGGGCGAAGTCCTTTTCCTGTACTTGGACTTGCAGTAGCGAGCTCAAATGGCCCATCTGCGTTTCGTCCGCCAGCTTAAAGTAGTTGCGGCGCAGCAGAGCCCTCGGCATCTCGCCACGCTCTGCCCATTGTAGTTGCAGTGGCGTTGGCACCTGCTGTTGTGGCTGATCTTCGCTGGGGATGAACAAACCAGCAGCCGTATTGCTGGGACGGGTGGCCAGCGTGCGCAGCGGCGGGGCCGGCAATTTGTACCACTTGAAGTTGGGATTGGCATTGAAAAAGGCGTCTTTGTTCTGCAAAAAGAAATAAATTCTTTAGGAAAACTCTATCGAGCTTAAGAAATACATGTGTATAAAGCAAATCTAGGACTTTAGTACAGGTAAACTTTTATATTCCCACCTGCTGCGCCAGATCCGTGAAACAGTGCTTCTCCTGCTCGTCGAGTGCGGCCCACCAGTCGCCCAGTATCTTGGTAATGGCACTAAAATAGAGAAACATCAAAAGTAAGTTTCCTGGAACCCCAATACTCTGAAGCAATAGAGACACACCGGTTCTCCAGGGTCTTGTAGCGCTCCTTGACAATACCGCGGTGGCGCTTGCAGAAGATAAGGAATGCATTCATGGGACGGCGGGCATGGTGCTCCGGTCGGATGTTATCCGCTGGCTGATCCTGTTGCTGCTGCTGTATTTTATGGCGATCCTTATCCTGTTCTTGCTGCGGCACAGTAACCACATCCACGTCCACATGCTCTTCGGCAGCTTCGCGACGAATGCGTGTGATCTCCTGCTGCACCGGCAACTGCACCTGGATTTCCTCCTCATCTTCCTCCTCTTCGTCAAGCTCTTCCTCTTCTTCGTCTTCCTCTTCGTCGGTGTCGCTGCTGTAGTCCTGCAGCTTGGCATAGTTGTGCACATCCTCGATGCGTCGAAAGGCATTTTCTTGGTCCTCGGTGCGCTGCGGCTGAGGGTTAACTAAGGCACTTTTGGCAGCTTCTCCAAGTGAACCAACATTTTCAGTTGCTCTGCCTAAAGGTTTAGTTTCAGCTCCTCCTACATTTGACGGCTGTTCTTTGGTCACAGGCATGGGCAGCCAGCGGAGACTGCTTGTTCCTATTTGGGGAACTCCCTGTACCACAGCAACACCATTTGGAGCTTTTGAAATAACCCTTGTAGCCCCAGAGCCTATAACAACTCCTCCAGTTCCAGTTCCTGGAGCTGAAGCTAACGAAAGTTTGCCAACAACCATTGATGTTTCGGTTATATTGTAAAATTTTCTCACAGCTTCAGAAATACCATTTGCTGTTTTGGTAGCAAGTTCTTCGTAAAGGACACTTCTTGGGCCAATGCTAATGGCGCTTGGGGTTCCTGCTCCTGATCTTGTAGAAAAACCTCTGGGAGTTATAGAATCGCCCGATTCTTGGTTAATACCAGGTGCCCTCGCTGTTCCTGATCCAAAGTCGGTGGAAAGCCCTCTTAAAGTTGCAGATTTTCTGGAACCATCTGATCCTTGAATTAAACCAACTGCCTTTGGAATTTCTGACCCTGAATAAGCTCCTGCTGCGGTAGAAAGTCCCATAAAGCTGACTGATCCTTGGTTGCCACCTGTTGCTCCACTTGTTTCCCGGATTTTCTCAATTATTTTCAGCACTTCGCCCGTGTTGTTGTTGTTGCTCATTTTTTGCTCTGTTGTTTTAAGGCCACTGTAGATGTTGTTGTTGTTGTTGCTGCTGTTGCTAGTGTTGTTGTTGTAGGCAAAGTGCAATTTAATTGCAGCACCTGCTGGCGTCACCTGTTGAACACCGCCAACGCTCAAGCCGTTGATCATGTTCGTTGCTTTCGTTTTTCACCTAATTTTCTAGTCCCGATCTTCGAACATATTACGCTGAAAGTAAAAAAAAAGTTGTGCGTACTTTTTAGTGGGTGAATTTCACAAATGCAAGAGAACGGCGATGCCAATGTGGCTGGAAAAAAAACCAATTGGCAGCTCTGTTTTTTGAGATATTGAGTTGTTTACAAATTTCCAGAGACAGAGATAGAGAGAGATCAGCTGTGCGTGTGTGTGTGCTTGTTGTGACGCCTTTCCCTCCCTCCATCTCTTTCTTTCCAATTCAAAAGTTCCTTATAGAAAAATAAAAACTTGACGCACACAAAGCTTTATTTTATTATTATGAAATAAAAGCGAAATACGCATACACCTACAAAACGGACTGTGAATTTATAGGGATAACAGATATTTCCAAAATAAATAAACAAAATAACAATGACAACAAAGGATAAATTAATCAAAAAAGTTATCTTCCTTTTTTATTTACAATATTTTACAACACTGCTAACGTTAACAATAAGAACTACACAGGAAAAAAATTTATTTTTATTATCACTTGGATTTTACACATCATTTCATCAATTTGATATGTGAAATATTCTACACGATATTTTGCATCATTTCAATTCGATATTAAAACACAGCTGAATTTATATTCAAATTCATACGCTTTTGTCACTTTTAGATAAGGCCAATTATGGGTAAAAACCATAACTTATATTACAATAATATTATTAAGAGAAAGCACTCATTCTTTGTTATTGATTAAACCCTTTTTTAGTACGTACTTTGTTAAATAAATTTTTGTCTTCAATATTGATAATAAAATGTTTAATTCGTACTGCTATTGCACAATTATGTGACAAACAAAACACACAAATAAAGAAATGGAAAAAAGAAAAACAAAAAACGAAAACAGGCTACGTGTACAGCTGAGCGTAAGCTAGTGTGTGTGTGTGCGAGAGGGAGAGTGCTAGAAAAGAGTGCGAGTGCGTTGCCTTCTCTCTTTTTCGCACAGTTCGCTTTGAACTTGATTAAGCCCATTGTTGTTGCTTTTGTTTTCTTCTTATTTGTTTGAGCGAGCAACGCACTGGCTTGCCTTTGCTGTTATTGTGATTTTTTTCTAAGCAAAGGAAAGAGAGGGGAAGAGGATCGCAGTGCCAGCGTTGCCACTTGGCTCAAAAGGTAAAGTGCAGCTGTCAGCTGTTGGTTACCGTTGGTCGTCTCACTCTATCTCTTTCGCTCTCACACACACAGATGCACACGGTCAAGGCCAAGTTTTAAAAAGGGGCGGTGGGTGAAAGGGGAGGCAGTGGGTCGGTTCATAACCTTCAAACGTTTAGTTCTAGTTTTCTAGGTTAGATTTTCAACTGCCTTCGAAATGCAATCATTTTATTTCAATTTAATAAGTCAATGGGCAAAAAAAATAAAACAACATTCACACACAAGCACACAAAGTTCGCCCGCTTATAGACCCCAAACACACAAACAAAGAACAGCTAATGACGTTTGTTATTTTGTGCGCGTCGCTTATTTTTAAAATTTTTTTGCACAAAACAAAAATCTTAAATGAAAACTGCATTTTATTGCCTTAGCATAAATAAAGCTTTGATTAAATCGCGATTTACTTGAATGAAATTATTGCCCCGAATCGAAGACTCTGCTCTCGTTTAATTAAATTTCAATGTTGATGATGTCAAATGAGAATGAAAACTGACTGTGTTTTCTGTTTTTGTGTTTTTGTGCTGTGGCCAGAAGCAGCGACGTCGGCAGCAAAGCCGACGATGTGGAGACGTCGTTTCGCACTATGGGTTTAACCAAGACATATTTTTGTTTCAAAATATTTAACATTTTTGTAAATGAAATCTAAATATGTATGCATAAAAAAAGGTTTTTAATGTAATCTTGCTTTAACCTTTTATACACTTTATTTAATGAAAAATTCTAAAAAAAAAAAACAATAAAGAAACCCGGCCTTGGGTTCTAGTAAAGTTTTAAGAATTATTTATGAAATGATCGAAACAGTGTACCATCGATTATGAAAATTTTGCAACAATCAGTTATAAAATATATATGTTACTTTCTTTATATTCAAAATACATTTTGATTTATGTTTGAAAACGAATACCATTTTGGCCCACAGTGCGTCGCGTCGCTGCTGACGCTTTATTGCGCGCAGCAACAACACTGCTACAGCGAAATGTTTTTTATTTTACTTTTTCTTTCTGCAGGCGCCTCTCTGTATTTGCAAGTGTGTGTGAGCTCCCCACATCCGCAACGCATCCATATTAACATTCACATTCACACGTCTGTCTCCAAAAACAATAACAAAGTAGCCATTTGCTGAATGGGAGAGAGGGCAGTTGTCTCCTGTGCACTTTCCGCGCTCGCTCAGCTGTTTTTCATTTGTTTTTGTTGTTACTGGGAGAATCTCACGGAGTGCACTTTACTTTTGAAAGGGGGATTTACAAAAATTAAAAACTAAGAGAATATTTAAAAAACTATGCACAGAATAATTTAAATTGTATTAAGATGATTGTGAAAAATATAATAAAAGTCAAATTTAAAATGTTTAGAGAAACATTTAAAAAATTTGTATACAACTTGGAAGCAAGATAATAGACCAAACAACAATTTAAATAGCAATTCTAATGAAAAAAGCAATGTGGTTAATTATGTATGTACTTTCAATAGTTGCAGTTTAACAAAGATTTTAATTAAAATAAAATGTAGACTTATAACTCCACTTGCGTAAATTAGTCCCTCTTTTTCACCTCTTTTTTGCAACAAGTTGATCGACAAATTGCAATATTAGTGTATGTGTGTATGAGGATACTATACACTATATATGTATATAAGTACATCCACCCCCCAAACCGATTGCCGTGCTTTTTTTATTGCATAACCACATTTAACAGTTTTGCTCGAACGGTTGCCGATTCGGTTTGTTTGCAATTTGCATTTTTGCCCAAGCCAGGGGGCAACAACAATGTTATTGTTTTTCAAGGTCACTCACACACATGAGCAGCGAGATGAACGGCAGAACAACAACCCACCCACCGCCACCCCCTGCAATTTACCACCCACCTCCCAACGGTTTAGGTTTGGAGGTTCACTTCGGTTCACTCTCCTCTCTTTTTGGTTGGGAGAGCGACACAAGCGAGCCAACAAACTGGCTATCTCACACAACACACACACAGTCTTTAATACACAGTGCACTTTGGGTATAGTGAGCCAATAGTTAACCCCGTAAGTTAATATTATCCTGATACCTCTGCATTAAAATAGCTTTTCATAACAATATTTATAAAGCATTAAATGACACCTGTCTTTCTGTAAAATCCCCAACTCCTGGTTAGTACCAAAAAAAAGCCTTAATTCCTCTCAAAAATACAAGTGTTTATATAAATGTTTGACAGATATTTGGTTATTGAGCTTTTATTCCATATTTTCATTTTTAAAAAATTATGTACATATGTATATTATTTTTTTATTTTAGATTTATTTTTATTTTAACGTCAACTGCTGCAATTATTTTAATCTTTACTGTAAACAAGACAATTCCTAAAATAACCTGAAGGATAAAACAGATAGTTCACTCTTCAGGATGCTAACTGTATTTACGTATGTTTTTGGGGAGGCGGGTTACCGTTATGCACTATATCTAGCTCTCTCTCTCCTTGTATATATCGGCTTTGTGTACGATTGCATGTGTTGCTTGGTGCCAGTTTTCAGGGTCAGGGAAATTCGATTTTTTTGTCTGCCTGATTCTGCTTCTTCTTCTTCCTTGTGGCCTTCCTTCTTCGCTCGGCCCACTAACAACAACAACACTGTCAAGGCCAACATTAAGTGAAGTAAAGAAACCCTTAAACAAAGTTTATAAAATCGAATCTTCTATACACTTTTTGTGTACCCTTGCAGAGGGTATTATAATTTCAGTCAAAAGATTGCAGCGGAGTGAAGGAGACATTTGCGACCCTATAAAGTATATGTATATATATTCTTGATCAGCATCACCAGGATAGTCGATCTAGCTATGTCCGTCTGTCCGTCCGTCCGTCCGTTTCTACGCAAACTAGTCCCTCAGTTTTAAAGCTATCAGCTTCAAACTTTTCCTAAAGTTGTATTTCTGTTGCAGGTAGTATATAAGTCGGAATGAGCCGGATCGGGCGACTATATCATATACCTCCCATAGGAACAATCGGAAAAAAATTTTTTTTTAATATAACTTTTTTGTTTTTAATTTTTTTTGTTCTTTGGGATTTGATAATATTTAATTAAATTAAAATCTGACATCTACATATATCATATAGCTTCCATAAGAAACTCAAAAAATTAAAAAAAAAAAAATTAACAATTTTTTTTAATTTGCTGTTTATTAAAATATTCCCTTAAGATATAGTATTTATTTACTATATTCTATAATTATTTAATACTGTCAAAATCGGACAACAATATCATATAGCTGTCAAAGAAACAAAGGCAAAATGCATCGCAAAATCGACATAGCTTCATTGTTTTTAGTAATAAAGGCATAGGAATCGAAATGTAGTCGTTTTGTAATAATTGCAAGGGTATATAAACTTCGGCTTGTCGAAGTTTGCTTCCCTTCTTGTTTTTTGCTGATAATAAAGTTTCTTAAAGAATGAAAGGTAAACCCGCAATTGAGAATTTATAATTTTTTTAATTAAACATTTAGCTTTCTTTTTATTCCTTAAATATAAAATATTTTTTTTAAAAATATCTGACATCTAAAAATATTTGAAATAACTTTTTTTGTGGTATTTACAACATTTTTAAAAATTAAATCTTCCGTCTACCGGCTTAGTTATGTGATAGATTTAGTTCAGTTCTGATGTTAATGAACTTTGAAAATGGGGCGTTGTAGGTCCACGCCCAATTCTGCGACCACATAATTAAAAGACGGAATGATTCTATTTTCAGTCAAGAGCCAAACAATGATAAGACATATCGCACAAACCGAGGAAACTGGGGAGAACAATGGGAGAGGGTAAAACGATAAGCGACCCTCCCAAGATATTTTTTTAGCCGATGCACTAAAAGTACAAATAGGTTATTAGCAAACATTTACATTTAAATGAGCAATACAAATTTTGAAATATTTGTAGATTGATTCATTTTAACGAAAGCAATACAAAATATGATTTTCGTTAAAGTTTTATACCAAACAAGAAATTCTCTTTACGAGGTAAGAAAGTCGTGAGGATTGCATTTTAAACATACAACATTTCTGATAACAAATTTTGTGACGCAAATTATTTACACATACAGGACTAAACAAAAACATTTCTATCTAAAATGTTCTCATTGGCGTAGTCGAATCATGAATACCGTGCTAAAAAACTGGCCACAATTTTTTAGATGAAGATGATTCAGATGAATTAACTTTGAGTAAATCAGTTTTTAATATAGGTTATAAATAATGGATAAGATTCTGCCTTAAATTCTTCTATATATTATTCCCAACTCTTTAAAACTAAACTGAATAGAATTTGCTTTTTTAAAATGTTAAAGGGATTTATGAAATTACATACATACGTTATTTTTATAAGCCATTTTACTATTTTACTGTGTCTCAACAAAATTTAAGTTATTTGAGATTTCGATTATAGATAATACTTATTGAAATTACAACAATCACTCACCTAAATTGGTCACAAACAGCTTCGGGATGGGATATTCTGGCCGGGATTATTCCTACCGCTTGAGCACATTGATGAAGGTCTCGTGCGGCACGCGGATGTTGGCGAACATGCGCATCTTCTTCTTGCCCTCGGCCTGCTGCTTGAGCAACTTCATCCGCCGGGTGACATCTCCTCCATAAAGCTTGGCCGTGACATCTTTACGATACGCTTTGATGGTCTCCCGTGCAAGCACTTTGCTGCCCACACACGCCTGGATGGCGATCTGCACCATCTGCTTCGGTATGAGCTCGCGCAACTTGAGAACCATCTGCCGGGCCACACCTGTGGCCTTGGATACATGGACAATGCGGCACAACTCCTCCACGGGCTTGC